GAATAGAAAGTCTATGATTCTTATCTATATCAATTAAATTTTTTAATTTTATTGCTTAATTATAACTATTGATATTTAAATTATGTTAGTGAGAATTGATTTGGATTATAATGGATATGGAATTCATTTTTAATTAATGACTGATTTTAAAATGAGTGTATAATACCTCTCTGAGTTGCTTTGTTAAGAAAAGTGAAGAAAACTTATACATATATTTTATTTTTTTACTATTATCTTTATAAACAATCGAAAATATTTTGTTGCTACATATGGCTATCTGCCATAGTTAGAAACAAAAAAATATTGTCATAATTATGAGTATTTATAGATTTTTTTTTTTTCAGTATAAAAGAATCAATTCTTAAGTAAGCCCGCGACTACGACTCACGATAGTATTTCACAATATAAAATAATAAAACTATTCAATTTATTATCAATTATTGCTATTGAAAAAAAAGGAGACTTTGTTTGGTATATGTATATTAAGATTCTAAGAATAAAACTATTCTAAAAATTATATATAATTTTATATGAATAAAGAATTTAAAAAGTTAGATAAGTATAAACATATATACATAATTTTTAGCCAAATAAAATAAAAAAGTTATTTTTATTTAAAATTATTACATGACAAATCGGATAAGATTGTTTTATGACATATATAAATATCAAAAAGTAAGTTATAGAATAAATATAAATAGATGATATATATTTTAATTTGCGTTGTGAAATTCATTGATTTTTTGTAATTTAAAATTCATGGTAAAGTGTAAAATGATTAAAAAAACATTAAATACAATCTTAAAAAAAAATTAAATACAATATAATTTGATGATTGATATTAATATGTAGTATTACATAATATAATTTTACTATAGTAACTTGAGTGATGAAATAAGTATATTAAGATATATTGGGAGAGTATACGTGTTTGCCATTTAATAAAAATTGATGGTGTAACTTCAGAGTTCTATGATTAGGTAACATTCTAGATGTTTGAATAATTATATAACCAATTCTGACAACTGTTGATTGATGTAAAGTATATTACTGAGGAATTGCATGTTTGTTTTAGCACATATTATGATTATAATGTTAGTATCTTTCTTAGGTTTATTTTTAATGTATATGTGGAAAAAAATTGTGATTTGAAATTTGTTTACTTACAATTCTTATTTTTCACTTGAATTTGTTGTGGGCTAACAATTTTTCTACCATCTTACATACAACAAGTAAAACGATTTTAAATTTTATATATTTTTACTTTTTTTCTCATTTTCTTTTTATTTTTTTCCTTGGATAAATAGAATATAAAGATATAGTTAATGCTAATAATAAAGAAAATCAGCTTATCGAATTTTTTAATTTTGATAACCATCAAGGTATCTTCCTATTCACAACTAATGAACACGCATTGGCTTTTACCTTAAAAAGATGAAATATAAAAAATTATATTACATTATAAATATTATACAAATAATTCATAATTGATTTTATAAATATTTTTCTAATTTTTTTAAAAACTCATTTTTTTGTTATTTACTTTTTCTTTGTATTGTTTTGTAACTTATTAAACATATAATTAATAAATTTTTAAACAATTTAATTTATCATGTGAATTAAGATTTTTTTAATGAAAATTTTTCGTTCAATTATTTTAATAAATAACTTCTTATATTCGTATTAGATCAGAAATTCTTTTAAAAATGTATTTAATTATTTTTAAATAATATATATATATATATATATATATATATATATATTCATAAATAATGTTAAAATTATTAAATCTGCTACATGATTTTATCTGAATTGAGTTTTTTTAAAAATACCCTAAAATTTTTAAATGAATAGAATTCAAATTTTAATCTAGATAAAGGAATCATATAAGTATAAATTAATTTAAAATATTGAATATTTGACGAACAAAATATATTATTATAAAATGTTGAAATTTATTTTGGATATTGAAAACTATTAGGGTTACTTCTTGAAACGAAGAACTATAATCTTTGTTGCAACAATGTGTCACGGACAACACTATGAAACCCGAAATTAAAAACGAGTGCAGAATCCGTGATCATATCAATATATTTTGATCATATTCGAAGGGCAGACCTTGGTATCGATCCTCACTAACTTTCAATGTGGCTAACGTAAGCAAGGACGTCATTGTAATTAACATTATTTACTTACCAAAAAATATTTGTCTTTTATTGGTTGTCATTTTGATTAATATTTTTGTTTCAAATTAACAAGAGATGTCTGTACCTAATGATTAGTTATTACGGCCTTATTTTAGGGACAAGATAAGATTTGTAAATTTATTATTATTATTATTATTATTATTATTATTATTATTATTATTATTATTATTAACTGAGATTACTTACTATGAACATGAGAAAAAAATTATAAGTATGTATCTTTTAAATTTATAGCTTTTAATTTTCATCGTCTTTTATAGTTGCATATACATTAAAGTTATTATGTTTTTAAAATAAAAATCATTACTTTGATATATATATTCATGAAAAGTTCCATTCACCGTTAAAGAAATATTTGAAATTTATCAGTAAAATCAATTTTAGTTATTTTTATTTTGTTTATATTTAAAATTTGGTTTAGTAATATTTATATTCTTTAAAACAAACTAATATTAATTTTAGTCTTTAATTTAAAAAAAAAATCTTTCAATCTAAAAGAAAATATATGAGTTCAGTCTCTTAAATTTGTAGTATGAACTAAAAATGGTTTTAAATATTTCCATACCTTAAAAACTAAAATAATTATTTTAAAGTTTAAGAGGGTAAAATCAAGTCTACACAAAGTTTAAAGAATAAAAAACATAATTAAGGGTGAACAATTTTAGTGTACGAATAATAAAAATGCATATCAACTTATAAAAATTCTTTTATATATTTAGATAATTTATTAGTATTATTTGTAACAACTCATTTGTTACACATTTCTTTTCATTATCTTTCATATTATATATATATATATATATATATATATATATATATATATATATATATATATATATATATATATATTCACATTTCTTTTCATTATCTATCATAACCATTCTCTTATGAAGATGTTTATTATATGCACTTACAATAGATAAAATATTAACACATCAAAATCAGAGTTTTTTTTTCAAGATAGTGGTTACTCACTTTTTATCACCAATATTACTTCTTATATAAATAATAATAATAATAATAATATTATTATTATTATTATATAAACACAAATTCTAATATTCACATAATTCGTAATATATATATATATATATATATATATATATATATAGTTTAGTCACGCTATCATAATAATATATTATTAATACAAAATATGTTTTTTATTTAATTTTTTTATTAAATTAATAACTATTCAACATAAAAAAATATTATGACATTTTTAAAATTAAAGCAAACTTTTTCGTGATAAATTATATATGATATGACGCAGAAAAAGAACGACGACAAGGAAATAACGTCGTCATGTTGATACTTATTCGATTTTGGACGAGATAGAAAGAACGTTGAAAGGAAAAAACCTATGTTATATTCAAATACTGATTAACACCAATTAAGTTTCCTTGATTGATTGATTCAATTTAAATTATTCTATTAATTTAAATTTATCCAGAACTTATGGATTTTCTTATCTATCATCACTCATAGATTCCCTCACTTTCTTATTTTCATTTTACTGACGCAAATTTATATCAAACTGTGCATAACTAACATAAATTTATGTGAAACAGTAGAGTGTCCAAAAAATAAATCGATCAGTTATTCCAATATAAATTTACGTCATATCATAAAAGTATCTTAATTTACGTCATATCATAAAAGTATCTTAGGAAAATTATATTGATTAATTACTTTAATATAAATTTACCATTCCTTTATTCAAATCAGAAGTTAATCATGAACAAAAAAAACCTTAAAATAACAAACATAAAAGCTTGTGATTCCATAACACGTATCCATTAATTATTCAACTACAAAATATATTTAACAACATAGGTTTTACATGTAGCTATAATTCTCTAAATTAGATATTAATAAAGTTACTTAAAAAATATATTTCCATATAACTAGAAAATCAACATAATAATCAAAATCAAAATTACACCCCATAAATAAAAACCCTATTATTAAAACACCATCATGACTTGTAATTATATCAAATTTTCTTGTAAAAAATAATATAAGACAAATTCATCTTAATTAGATATTTGATATGTTAAAAATGAATCCAACTACTTAAACTTCTTATAAACCATCTTAATTTAAGTGCTACATTACAATCACCAGATAAAGCTAATTAAATTTCCACAAGTAGAGTGAGAAATTAGCGGAAAAGAATGGAACTCATTATTGGACTTACTTCCCATGAGTGATGAGTTGAGTGTTGGTTCAACTTTTCAACCCGAGACTGCCCAACCCACAACTATTTTATGTTAATAAAAACAAAAGAAAAGTAGCGTTGTTGGTGTGCATGCACAGTTGTTTTGAATTACGATGTATTGACCACAATTATACACATGTATTAAAATAAATCAACCTTGTGAATAATAATAATAATAATATTATTATTATTATTATTATTATTCCTTCGTTATAATAAATAAGGTTATATGTTTTATGTGAAAGATTAAATCAAATTTCTAGTCTTTTAGGTCACACTGATATAAATAAAAAATATAAGTTTCTGAAAAAAATTCAATAATTGTGTATTTAGTTGATGTTACATGCTAAAATTGCAATGTTATCAATTTATTATATTTATTAGTACATTGTATTTTCATTTATTAAAGTGATAATATTTTTTTATATTTATTTATATTTCCTTATATTATTATTATTATTTAAACTTCAAACATAGTAAAACGAATCATGGCATAATCTATATAAATATTAGAATGGCAGGTACAGATGCATTGACAGAAACATAGACAACATCGGTGCGTGTCTGTGTGGCATATGCTGAAACAGATGTTAGACATGGAGTCAGTGAAGAACATTAACATTAGAGACAGTGGCGAGATGGCCGAGGAAGAAGAGCTTCTCCACAATAAAAACCATCCACGAGGAGGCATCAGAACATTACCCTTCATCCTTGGTACATGTTAATGCCTTCTTCATTCTCACACTTTAACTTCTGCACTTTTCTCCTCCTACCTTCTTCACTGTCCTTTTCTTTCTCCTTCAATTTCTTGCTTCAAGTTCTCACTTTTCATTTCTTCTTCGTTGCCCAACCAATCACCAGTATTATTTTGAATAAAATGAATTAAAAAATATATTAAAGATCCAATAATGTCCTTGGGAAAGATAAAGTACAGTGTCTGGTGGCTTGCAAAATGCTCATCCTCTTATTTTTTTTAGAAGAAGAAAAGAACTTCCTGTTAAAAATGCATATTTTTAACTTTATTATCCCGAAATGAAGTAGTATATTATGGAAAATATAATTTAATTATCTGAAAATATATATTGTCTCCTTTATAAATTTGTTGAATTAATCAATAGCGTTAGATAAAAGAGTAATAGCATTACGTTAGAGTTTGAGATCTACGTAATTCTTTATTTTTAAATATATTGTAAACTGTTCATTAAAATACACAACTTCACAGAACTCAGGATTTTACATAAATACAAAATTTATTTCAACGTTGGATATCTATCTATCTATCTATCTATCTATCTATATATATATATATATATATATATATATATATACAAACGACAAACTTTGAAAAAAATTCTTAGCACTCCTGTTGAAGATAATATTTATCTAGATTAACTAGGAGACAGATTGAGAATGCATTACAATTCCGAATCAATGTTTCTATAGACCGGGTGTGTAGTCTTCTAAATCAGTATTTCTATACATTGGATATAAGTAGAGACATTCAATATTTAACTTGTTCTAGCTTTTCTTCTAATATGTCGTTCATGATCTATATTTGGATCTTGAGAATCTTTGAAGTAGGTTGTGAATTTATCTTTTAACAGTTGGCATGTCTGGGTCTTATTGCTGTGTTGACTGATGAAAATATATATGAATTTACACAGTTTTGTTAAAAAAATGAGATAAAATTGTAGATTTGATAAATAGAAATAAAAAATAAAAAAATATATTATACAAGCTATCACAATTGCAAGTTCTTTTCTATTTTTCCCATCCATTTAGAATGGAAATAGAAGAGTAAACTATTATTACAGTAGTTGCACCAAATTCTTCAAATCATCTTGTAGTAAGTAAAGTATGTATGGCACCTTAATCATCATCTCTGGATTAAAAGAGTAAGAGGTTGAAATGTTTATATGAACAAGATTAATTAATTTGGAGTTGTTGGGTGTTGTGCATTATGTACATATGCAGCAAATGAAGTTTGTGACAGATTTGCAAGTTCTGGTTTTCATGCGAACATGATAAGCTACCTCACTCTACAGCTGAACATGCCAATGGTAGCTGCCTCCAACTTGCTCACAGCCTTCGCTGGAACTTCTAGCTTAACTCCTCTCTTTGGTGCTCTAATTGCTGACTCCTTTGCTGGTCGCTTTTGGACCATTATTGTCGCTTCAATCATCTATGAACTGGTCTCTTACAGTACTCTACTCTTTCTGCAATTTAAGTCACTCTCATATTCACCTATCAATCACTCTCATGAAACCTTGGAGATATATAACCCTCATCCATTTTTGTTATAATAAATATATAATTAACTCTTACAAATTTTATGATTTGAGAGTGAAGCCTTTTTGTTGTAGTACTATTACACCTAAATTAATCCTACCAATAATTTTGGGATACTATTGTTACAGGGATTGGTTGTTATAACTTTATCAGCTATACTGCCCCATTTGCGTCCCCCAGCATGCCCAACACAAGTAAACTGTAGAGAAGCCTCATCCAGTCAGATGTGGATACTCTACCTCTCTCTTTTACTCATAGTACTTGGCACAGGGGGCATTAGACCTTGTGTAGTGACCTTTTCTGCAGACCAACTTGACATGACCAAACGAGGAGTTGCATCAAGGAAGTGGAACCTCTTCAATTGGTACTATTTCTGCATGGGGTTGGCTTCTCTAAGTGCCTTGACCATTGTGGTTTACATTCAAGACAACATGGGTTGGGGTTGGGGCCTTGGAATTCCAACCATTGCCATGCTCATATCCATCATTATCTTTGTGTTGGGCTCACCACTCTATAAGACCGTTAAACCACATGGTACTCCAATGGTTCGTTTGGCACAAGTAGTTGTGGCTGCTGTAAAGAAGAGAAAGGAGGCTTTGCCTCAGGATCACAACCTTCTGTACAAAAATTGGGAGCTAGATGCTGCTATTTCCTTGGAAGGAAGGCTTCTACACTCAGAGCAATTCAAGTATGTCAAGTCATAAATTTGGATTTGGATCTTTTGCACTTCAACAATATGGTAGTTTACAATTGCATACGCAAACCTTACCACTACTAAATCATTGTTACTGGATATAATTGGGTAACATTGAACAAAAGGAACCTCAAATGCAGAAGCCTCCAACAATAAAATTACATTTCCTCCATTTCATTTTTGATATATATGGATTAATTTCTTAACAAAATCTATTTTATTCTAAGATTCTATTTTTGGTAACTACTAATAAATATGGAGGAGGCTTTCGTGACTGTATATTGCACGCATACATCTCGATAGCTTAATGGATGAACTGTCATTTGCACATTTAAGAATAACATCAATTGACTGTTCTCAAGTTTATATGTACTTTTTTATGGTTTTCTCTAGATCGATTCAGCAAGTTTATATATATGCAGATGTTTGGACAAGGCTGCAATTGTGACAGAAGAAGAGGGAAGAGATCCAAATAAAGCACCAGACTTATGGAAATTGGCCACGGTGCATAGAGTTGAGGAGCTAAAAGCCATCATCAGAATGCTTCCAATATGGGCCTCAGGAATTATGCTCATAGCTGCATCGTCATCGCATAATTTTGTGATTCAACAAGCACGCTCAATGGATAGACACCTCTTTCACTCCCTCCAAATCCCCCCAGCAAGCATGTCCATTTTCAATGTCCTAACGTTGATGGTAGGTATTGTTCTCTACGAACGCCTTTTTGTTCCATACATCCGTAGGTTCACAAAGAACCCTTCAGGAATCACAACCCTACAGAGAATGGGAGTAGGTTTTGTGGTTAGCATTTTAGCCACCCTAGTCTCAGCATGGGTGGAAATCAAAAGAAAAAAGGTTGCTGCCAAGTACCACTTATTGGACAGTCCAAGTTCAACTATTCCTATAAGTGTGTTCTGGTTAGTACCTCAGTATTGTCTGCATGGGGTGGCTGAAGTTTTCATGGTTGTGGGCCATTTGGAATTTCTCTATGATCAGTCACCTGAGAGCATGAGGAGCACTGCTGCAGCTCTATACTGCATAACTACTGCCATTGGGAACTATGCTGGCACAATTATGGTCTCACTGGTTCATAAGTATTCAGGCAAGGATAGGAATTGGTTGCCAGATAGAAACCTCAACAGGGGTAGATTGGAGTGCTACTTTTATCTTCTTAGTGGGATCCAAGTTCTGAATCTCATTTATTTTGTAATATGTGCATGGTTTTACACTTACAAGTCCGTGGAGGAAATTAGTGAAGTTAAGAAGCTAGAAGATTTGGAACAGAATACAGAAAAAATCTCTTGTCACATAGGTGTAATAAGTAGGGAGGGAGCAGAAGGTAATTGACAATTAATGAATAAATTTATGTTTCATATTGAAATCTTGAGGAAAAAAATAGTATTTCAAATGTGATTTCTAAAGGTAAAATTATTTATGAGTTATCTCTATCCCAACTCACTCCTATTGTATGTGTTGGCTTATGTTATATGACTTACATATGAGATTAAAATTGCCTTATAACTGTAGCCAAAATTGGAGTCACGGCAGAAATTGCATATAAACTTACATTTATTTGTTACATGTACAGATGAATACAATACAACATACCCTTAATGAATTGGGCCTCATGGGTCTCTTGGCACTGGCCTTTTTGGACTTTATCGGTGCTTGGATTTATGGTTAATTGGGCCATTGTTAAACAACCACAACATGTGTAATTCATAATCACTTTGCTTCTTGTAATTTAAGAGAAAAGAAAAAGGACGTGAATAGTGAATGAGATGATTCTTTTGTTATTTAATAAAAAAAATGTTGTTGAAGAATATAAAGTTAAAGTTTTTGTCTTTTCTTGTTTGATTTTATATAAAGTGAGATAAAAAAATATATTCATAAAATGACACAAATAGCCTTATTAATGTATTCATAAAACTAAAATGTAATAAATAAATGTAAAATATAAGGATATATATTAACGCACAACTCATTACAAATAAAATTATTAATAATAAGAAACTATTCACTTTTATAATATACCAATAATATTTTTTCCCAAGTTCTATATGTTAAAAACAATAATTCGATTTGTTTGTGATTGTTTTTAATTTTTTTTTAATACAATAAGTAGATTTCTGTTTTGTTAATGTATTTTTTAATCAATTTATTTAAAAACAAATAGCTTTTAACTTATTTTAATAAATAATTTTTATCTGTTTTTAAATAAGTATTATTTTTAAAAATTATTTATTTGAAAACACTTATTTTAAGTTTAAATTGGTGTTTAATATTTTGTATGAATCATGCATATCTGCAAGACAACAAAATAAAGAATATGTGATAGGGAAAATGTACCATTTTCCTTTCTCTTTCTTTCATTTTCACGCAAACGGATTATAATTTTAAGGCAAAAATTAAGAAAATTTTCATTTTTAAATCAAATCTAATTAAAGTTTAAACAAAGTTTTTAAAATTTTAGTTTTGAAATGCATTATGAAGCCCCACAATTGAAAACCAAAACTTATACCATATCATTGAATTTTTAACCATGATCTTTGAACATTTCAATCACAACCTATCAGTTTTTTTTCCTTTGCAAGTGTAATAAATGGAAAATTAATAGCTATATAGTACTACCATTTGAAAATATTATATACTAACCCTAAATCCTTTATTATAGAGTTAATTACGTAATTTTTATACTCCTCTTTTCCTAATAATATGATCAACCTCCACGTATCATTATGAGTTGTTTTATTAATTGACTTCTTTGCCCTTCTATGCTAATATTTATCACTTTTTTCCTTTTTTATTTTATTTGTTACATTTCTTTCCGCTAATAACAATCTTATCCTTGAAGTTAAAACTCACATAAGCTTTATTCAATAGAACATGATCCTTTTAACAGTTGTGGATCTTAATCATTGGTTTTTGGAGGGTAAAATAATATATTATTAATAAATAATAAATAAATATGAAAATGTGAAAAAATATGAAAAGATAAGAAGTTAAATTTATAAACATACAAGATATACTTAATAATTATCAAAATTTGAGGGTCAAAATCATAAATACTAATATAAATTACGAAATTTTGGAGAATTATGACCATCTTCATTTCCCAAAAAGATTTGTCATTACTTTCGAGTGATATGAGATATATCTAATCTTTCTCATAGCACGAGATGTTACTTAACTTGTGTGGTACCTTAAAGAATTATTCGAAAACTACAAAATAGGGATAGGTCGAATTATAGGTGGTAACTTGAAAGTAATGATTGGTAGTGGTGCGTATGGATGAAAACATTCTTCTTTGCAAGGTTTAAGCTAAGAGTCGTGAAACATGAGATGAATTCAGTGTTTTGTGGTAAACTAACTTATAAATAATATGATATATCCTTTTGATGGCAATAAAGGGTCCAAAGTACCTTCGTCTAAATTTTTTATTTTTCTAAGAGTAATAAAATGTTACTCATATGGTTGTAACTTCACCAACACTATGTCACCAATTTAAAATTTCCATAGTTTTCTTTTCAAGTTCTGCATATTTCTTCATGTGTTATTGAACCTTAAGGAGATTGTATTTTGGTTTAGTGAGAGTCAAGTCCCTTTGTACCAATTATTCTTAAACGAACATTGGATCACTATTATTAAAAGGTATTTGATGAGAGTATGAGGATCTTTAACATAAATAATCTTAAAAGGTATCATGCAACTGTTGTGATGATAAGAAGTAGTATACTAATATTCTGTCTAAAGAAGTAACTTAAATCAATCTTTGGGAGAATTATAAGTGAAACAATTGTTCTAGGCATCTCACGTAACCTAACCATATTTTTCATGAATTATCTATGACTACTTTGTAGGAATAATAAGATTATAAGGCAAAGAAGTGTGCATATTTGGATAGTCTATAATGATTCTTAATTTGTTAAAACTTTTTAATGCTTTTGGAAAGATTTCGATAACTCTTCATTTTAATCAATTAAAATACTTTTAATATGTTAAAACTTCATTATATTTTCAATGTTAAAACACATATTTAATTGATTAATTTTACTATTAAGTGAAATTAACATATTAAAACACATTTTTAATCAACTAAAACTAATGTTCAACTCTATATAACTCTTTCATTTTTCAATCTTTTGATAGACAATTTGAATCAATATTTCACAAATCACTTACTTACTTTGAAAGTAATTGTTTTAGCTAAAGAAAAGTTCTTAAAGTTTTTTTTTCAAATTTTGAGATCAATCATTTTGTGAAGAAGGAACATTGTTTTTCACCTAGATATCCTGTTTTCTCTTATACTAGTTGACTTCCCAGTTGATAACATTTTCATTTCTTTGTTGCTAATCATAATTTAAATTGCAATTTCTAGATAGAGTTTCTGAATCTTACATAGTGGTAGGGTGTCATTGGTCTTAAAGAATACTTTTCTTGTAAGGTTCAAAAAAAACTTTTCTTGGATAGATAGGTTGATCTATTATTGTAAAAACTGTTATTTTTAGTGGTAAGCACAGTTGGTATAGCTAAGGACTAGATGTAGCTTTTAGTGTCTTTCTTTTTTCCCTTACTCTTTTATATTGTTACAATTGTCTTTATATGTTCTTTATGGTTTCTAATTCTTATCCTAGATTCCTTTATTTATAAGATAAAGGGTTTATAGAAATTGAAAAGCAATACTAGTAGTATCATCCCAAAGAAACTATCTTTTGTTAATAAGTGTGTTAAAGGAGCAATAACAACATACAATTTTATGAACCTTTTGTAATAGTCAGTTAATCTCGAGAATCCTCTCAATTGTTTCAAGTTTGTAAGAATATGTCAATCAAGTACAACTTGTACCTTGTCTCTTTACATAATGACACCATGACCAAGATTATTTGTTGTAGACCAAAATGTGTACTTAAACAACTTAGCATAGAGTCTATTGTATAGTAAGCTTTGTAACACCACTAAAGATGATGAAAATGAGAAGACCATGAAGAATTGCATACTAAAATATCATTAAAAAACAATAACATCAATGATATGTTGGCAAAATTTGGGTCATGTATATATATGATACATAATTTAAATTTGTTAGGGCCATTATTTATTAAGCCAAATAATAAAGTGATCTGACTAAATTAAAGTTTTGGCTAAAGACATATGTCATGAAAATAAAACTGTGTAGAGACCATAGAACAATTTCTAATTTGATGAGGGGCCAAATTGGAAATACTAAAACTTAAGTAATTAACCTAATTCTGGTTATCTAAAGGGTCATGGTCCCCTTCTGGGAGCACACACAGAACGTAAGTATCAGTCTCGTTCCTTTCTTTTTATCCCCATCAAGAGAGAAAATCAAGAGGGAAATACAGGTGCTCTTCAGGTGGAAGACCATAAGATCAATATAGTGCTCTACAAAGACATCATCATTATGGCTAATTCAGGTACGCTTTTGCATTCATTTTACAATATGTTTATCAGTATGGGATTACGTTTATGTTTGATTGTTAGAATCAAAATCAGGATTATTATTATTATTATTAATTTTCCAACAATTGGTATCAGAATCGCCCATATTTGATTCATGTCTGTTTAATTTATAGAACCCTAATTATGAAAATTAGGATTAATTTTGTTTTAAACAATTCAAATTATCCAATTTTATGAACCCTAAGTGGAGAATAATCTCTAATTTTTGTGAACCCTAAAATTTAAATTTGGGGGTAACATTCTCAATCTACTTGCTGATGGAACCGTGGAGGAAGCTATGAATTCTTCTTCTTCTTCTTCGTTTTTCCCTTTTGTTTTAGTTTAAGTTTCAAGTTTTACTGTGAAAGAAATAGTGTTTCAAATTTCAATCTTTCTTGTATTGGGTTATCTGTTCTCTTTGAATCTTTTGTTTTTGTTTTTATTTAATTTTATGGGTTTTTGTTTTCGTTTTCTTTTCATGGTGGATATAGATGAGTTTGGAATTGGGGGTGGTGTTTGGGGAATTCCCAACATAGAAAATCTTAGGTAAATGGTGAATGTTTCCACAGGTGTGACTGTTCTTATTTTATTGCCTTTAGGAAAATTTAATGTTAAATTCCCCTATTTAGGGTTTGAGTGATTACTGTTTAATCTCTTTTTAGGGTTTAGAGTAGTATGCTAAAGAGACTCAGAACTATCTCTGTTTCATCCCTAGTGTGATTTTAGGGAGATGTTCATCTTTTATGTATTGGTGGAAAATGAGACATTTTTTCATCCTTTGATTAGTTCAAATGAGGTGTTCATCCCTAATGAGATTCTAGGGAGGTGTTCATCCTTAGTAGAATTCTAATGAGGTGATTCTCTTTTGAATTAGTTTGCAAATATTA